TAAGCCTTCTTATTCAATTGCATGAGATTGGCATCAAAAACTTCTTTGCCATGTAATCATTTTCATGTTTTTTAAAGTTTTTATGTCTTGTGGGAGAAGAGACAAAAATAAATAAATAAATAAATAAATAAAATGTCTAGTAGGTGCTTTTTGGTTTATGATATTGAGACAAAAGTGAAGCAATGAAGAACTATGTTTTCACTTGATTTGGTTCCCATGAAAGAAAAGAAAAGAAGAAAAAAAATCATCATGTTTTGTAAATGTCTGTACATGGAATGTGACCCATGTTGTTGTAAATTCAATCCATTGAGTAGTGCATGTCTTATTGATTTATTTATTTATTTACTTATTTATTTTTTGTTGTGGGTTCCGGAAAATAACCACAAAAAGAAAAATATCAAAGACAAATTAACAAACCAAACCAAATGAACAATGTCACTATGGTTCTTATTGAAAAAATTAATAATTAATACTTTTATTAATCCTTCAATATTTCCTTCCTTTTATTTATTTTTTATGTTTTCCCTTTTTCGTTTTCTTTGTTCCTCTTCAGCAGCTAAAGGTACATGCAAAATAAATAAAAACTGATGAAGCATTATCCTCCACAGCATGCAATCTATCTATCTATCTATCTATATATATATATATATATATATATATATAATATTTAATACTATAAAGAGAACAAATCGAATCATTTGGGGGGGACTCCTGTTTTATTCTGATCCATCCCATCCCCCAAGTGGCCTGGCTCTTTGAGAACCCACACGGGAACATGGGGAGCCAATTGGGGAACAGGGCACGCACGCTTCGGGAACATCATAACCCCCCCCCCCACTGACTGAGAGCCCCCATGTGCACCTGCCCCCCCCACCGGGCAGCTTTCATCATGTCCAACCCGGGCCTTCCTTTTTCTCTCCTACTGCCCCGGGCAGAGTCCCAGAAAACTCCCGTTTACACCTGAGCGTCGTGATCAAGGTGCCCAATACAAAGCAGGGGTCCACGGGGAGCGTGGGGAGTGGGGAGGCCTTTGTGGGGGACGGGTGGGGCGGGTGGCACGGGTGTGGACGGGGATGGGTGCCTGTTCCCACTAGTCTAAACCGGAATATACCACGTGGCTGCAGATTTCCTATTCCGGAATGAGCACCGCGTCGGTGATGATCCACGTCAGCTACTATTTCTACCGACTGCGCGTCTTATTTCGACAGATTTGGAAATGTCGGATTAGTAGTTTTTTTGTCATGTTTTTATATTGAATATTTAAATTATAAATCATGTTAAAATCTTCTTAAAACACTTCGATCTAGTGTATTTTCTGAAAAGGAATAGAACTCTTGAACTTCTTAAGTTGACTAACATGATGTATTTTCAATTCCATGCATACTAATTACTTAAATCATTTCACAATTGTGAACATGTTTTGTTATTTTTCATGTTGTGATTTTGAAGGATAAAGTACAACATGACAAAGGCAATGCTTCAAGGTATAGTTTAGAATCTTTTTTTCTAAATGTAAATGTCAACAAATATGGATAATTGAATCCATGTGTTTGGCATAATTTCAGTTTGTCACAACCACAGTAAAAAACTTACATGGAATTTGACAATGACTAATATATTGGGCCACAATCAAAATTCACCAAAATTAGCCAATCAATCAATAGAATCACAAATAAGAAAAACAATATTTTCACACTATAGATTAATAAACATCAAATATATATATATATATAGAGAGAGAGAGAGAGAGAGAGAGAGAGAGCTGTTAAAGCCACTCCCCCCTTCCCAACTCAAGGTTTGTTTTTGAACAAGTTCTATGTCCCCTACCCCTGTTCCTGTCCCACATCTCCGTTCCCCACCCTGTGCCCACTCTCCCCAACCCAACCCAACCCAACCCAACTCCCTTGTTTCCCCCTCTCCCTTTGGTCATAGCACTGCCATAAATTAATTAATGATATATCTATGTATGTTTAAGTCCTTGTAATTATACATTTATTTTTATTTTTATTGTTTGGATGGATGGAAGTCAACAATGACTTGTGCAATATAAAATAGAAGTGCTTCTGATTATGTTAAGGCTAAGATCATGTCTGTTACTATTTATTCAATTATAATCATTCATTTAAAGTAATTTTTTGAAGTTTACTAGCTTTATTATGGGTAATTAAATGTTTTGTAATCTCTACGTGGCTATTTCCTTCTATTATTAATTATAATAGTTTAAAAATTACTATTGAGTTTTGGTGAGTGTATATATAAATATGACCAAAGGGAGAGGGGGACAACAAAGGGTGGGGTGGGGACATGGGGGGGGTTGGGTCAAGGAGAGTGGGGAATGAGGATGTGCGATGGGAACGGGATGGGTGACATGGGACTTGTTCAAAAACGAATCATGTGTTGGGAAGGGGGCATGGCTTTAACAATGCTCAGGCTGTGGCTTTAACATCTCTCTATATACATACATACATACATATGAAAATGGAAAGAAAATTTCAAGCAATTCAAATATCACAACATAAAGCATAACAACAGGTGGTGAAAATGACAAGTGGACTCGTTCTTGTGAGATATAGAAGTATTGCAAAGTTGTGGTATAAGGATTGGGTTGTAGTCATTGCGAACCGTTCCCAAAATGGGAACAGATTCCAAAGCAGGTGTCAGAATGATAGAATGACAGAAGGAGAAATTTTGAACGGCATGCCCAGAAATGGAATCTCCCATACTTGGTGACATGGAAAGTGGCCGTCCTGTCTCTCTCACGTGGACCGTGACGTGTAGCTCCGTGACGTGGCAGAAGTGAGGGTCGGCAGGGGGGTTTAGGGCACCGGGCATAGGGCATACTTCACCCTACACCGTGCAATCCAAATGGGGGAACAAGCAAAGTAAAGCAGTTATGGGAGTCACGTTCCTCATTATAAATGGCGCCGTTACAAGGAGCTCCTAACTTGGTTTAGGGGGTCTATAACCGCGTCCCTGAAAATGAATTTGATATTGTTGTATTGTTTGATGGACATCAATGTATGAATATTAGAGGACGGTAGCAAATAGATTTACCTTTGTTTCCCTTTTAATTAAATCCTATTCTATACTTTTCCCGAGTTTCAATTTACGAAAATTATAGTTATGGCCTAACTCAAGATGAAATCGGATTATTTTTATTGCAATGTTTAGAAGGGATTGTTGTATGCAATGTGTGATGCATAAAAATATATTTTTTTAGTAGATTTTGGAAGAATTTTATTAAATATATATATATATATATATATATATTTATTCATATGAGGGTTCAAATGAAAATATCAAATAAATAAACCAATTAATTGTTATGTTTTTGTAATTTTATTATAATTCCATGTGTTGGATTTGACTAATGCAATGCAATCCCGATTTTATTGCTTCTGGTGCTAAACTAAATAAACTGAAACACATTTTTTTTCTCTCGTCAAGAAATACATTTATGATATACAGAATTAAGATTGCATTGTTACAAATTTGAACATTCATTCACAAGGGGAATTGTTGAAGTTTATAATAAGAAAGTAAAGAAAATACTGATTTCTCTTTTTGATGGTTGAAAATAATTTATCACAGTGACAATTGGTGTATACACTGCATTAAGAAAAAGAAAAAGAAAAAAGAAGAGAATACAATCGTCTTGATGATACACTCTGTCTATATTTTTTATCAAATTAAACAAAAGTCAACTATTTTCTTTTGATGAATGATATAAAAAAGAATTGTGCCTTTAGTTGAATAAATTTAGTAATCATTGAATTTGAATATATATATATAATAAAACAAGCACACTGATCTTTAAATACAATACCAAGCATGGTGAAAAAATTTAACTTTTAAATTTTGATTAGAACCATAGACAATCCATGAATCCATATTCAGACGTTATTTTTGAACGTCCAATTTTAAATACATCTCTTTTTGATGCCATCTTACAAAATCCAAACTCCATGTTCACATAGTCTTTTCAAACTGATTAAAAAAAACTAGGTGTATTTCTTTACTATCTATACTTGAAATTATAGTAAAATCCAGATCATAGTTCTCCTTAGTTTATTTTACAAATATAACTCAGTTACATACAGTATTTTTATTTTCATTTTTATTTGTCTCTTATATTGTCTAAAACCATGTCATGAGATGAAAAATTGCATCCAAAATTGCAATGGTGCCACTTGTGGATTCCAATACTATTACATGTGCAGAAGTCAAATTTAATTGCAAAGTTCTCAAAACTAATCTTCACTTGATACAAGTTAAAAACATTGGGTGTTCAATTTCTCAAGCCTTAACCACAGAGGACATGCTGTCAAAGTCTACAAATTTTTATTTATACCTCAACTGAAACCTCAACTTTGTACCCTAAAATTTGAAGTTCAGCTTGACAGACATGCATCAAGCAAATTATTGCATTGTGGAAACACGTCTACCTGGCAGCTGACGTGGAGGCGGCATTGGGGTAGGCATCAATTTATTTATTTAAAAAATAAGGGGGGCAGAATGGTACCCAATGTAAACTAGGGATGCCAGTTTTAATTTCAGTTATGGAATTATTTAATGGATTCAATAGAATCGAATGATGGGCTGTTGGCACAGAGAGGACCAAATGATTGAGAACAGACTTCCTCCAGAGGCAAAAATAAACGGAACGAAGAATCAAATCAATAAAATAAATAAATAAACTAATAAACATCAACTGCCCTGCATGATGACCATAATGGGATCTCATCCAACGAACGAACCTCACCACGAGTCACGTACTCATCCATCCATCGACGTATTCATCCAGCATGATAGTACGGATTTGAGGGTCGGTAGATGGATGAATATACCCGATATCATTCAGTTATATCATTCAGTTATATCATTCATCCTTACATTTAGCCGTCCGTGCTTGCTTGCTAGCAAGTGGCGGAGTTAGGGGGGGGGGGTGAGAGAGTTCTGATCATGTTCAGGTGGGCGAGCGTCAGAGCGGCAGCAATAACAGGCAACAGGGAGGGGCCTCTCTCTCTGATTGGGCTACTACTCACTTACAGTAAATGACATGATATGATACGTATTAGCCTCCCTCCCTTTGTATTCTCAAACGCAGTAAATGCTACTTAAGCAAAGTAGTAAATGGATCCCCATGGATGTCATGACCACATGGGCCTCCACTGTCACTTCCACCCCAGTGATTCCTTTCTCTCAACTCAACAAACACCTTATTATTCAGTTAACTTACTTTCTTGCTTTACTGACTCAACATAATTCTGACTGAAAGGCTCTTCCTGCGTTACTTGTGTGTGGCGTTTGCTTGAGTTGGGGTTGCTGACAAGCACAGTGTTTTTTCGGTTTTTTCTGTACTTATGTTATCTGCAGAATGCGATGAGTCGTTTCGTGCTTGCATCGTCAATTCAAGGGGTGTATCGAAGTACCGGATTAAACGTATGCCAGTGGGAAGATGAGCTTGATAGCCAAAGGGTTGCAGGACGAGATTGCACATCTCATTCTACGTCCGACGTGATGGTTGTTTTTGTTATTTGTGTTTTATTATTTGTTTCGTTCATTTGTTTCTTCTTTTTTCTCATTCCGTCTTGGGGTCTCCGCCCGGGTGCGCTGGGTGACTGTGATGGAGACCAACGGGGTGGTTATTGTTGTTGTTGGTGGTTGTGTTTATTGCTGCATAGATTGATAAAAGTGCGCTGTTTGACTTAGGCATATTATTAGCTAAACTCCAGATCAATGGGGGGGGGGGAGCTACTAAACTCGCTCGCTCTTTGACTGCGGGGGAGAGAGGGACGCTGACATCACACATCACTCCACATATTGGTGCAGGGCCATAATTGCGCAACTCTACGACGACACTCAAGTGAAGAAACCGAGGGTGGTGGCTAAAACCCCACTGAGGGGGGGGGGGACCCATAACTACCGAGGTTGGAATATCTCTCTCTCTCTCTCTCTATATATATATAATTTATCGAAGCTGATGTGTTTCACCATTATCTGGAGTGGAGGAGCCGACGGAAGGCAAAAGCCAGATTGCGCTTCGCACCAGAATTCCAGCTTCGTATCCGAGCTTGCATTACATATCAGATCTCCCGCGCCGGTAGGGTCGGAGTGGTATCAGCTTGGAGGATCCTAGGCTTCCTGGGCTAGACTTCATAGTTGTTGTTGTTGGTTTCGACCGTGTCGGCGTTTCACAGTGAAACGTTCTGTGTCGACGAGGCTTGTTTGAAGGTGCAGTTCAGACACTTTAAGTAACAGTTACAACGTTGGTTGCTGAGAGCTTGTTTTCGAGAGCAATCGTTGCTTGTTTGAGAGGGGCAGAGTTTGTGTGTGTGTGTGAGAGACTGAAATTCTGTGGCATGGTAGTATGCTAACGTTCCACTCGTTCACTGGATACGTCGCTGCCATGTACATTGACGGGAGGTGGAAAACGAGCATAGGCAGAGAGCTTGATTTGGGATTGTAGTGATCGTCCTAGTGGGCAGGTTCCAGTTGATGTGTATGTGATGCCTATGCGTTCCGTTTGTGAGCGGAGTCTGGGTGCCCTCGGGGAGGATTGTTTAAGTGAGGTGGAGCACCCGTGCGTCGTAGCAAAAAATCTGGGGAAAGCGAGGACGTGATGCCGACTCCATGCGCGTTCGTGCACGTTCTTCAGAACCTGTTGAGGGGAAAAACTAAGCCGTTGTAGGGATCACAACTTGTAAGGCTGCGTGGAGACAGTGGGTGTACTGCGCCAAAGCCCGTCCTGTCAAACTACAGCAACATTCTTTAGGGGGAGTGACAATTTACTCTTTCCAAATCTCTCATTCCATAACCAAACATACATCAATTAATCTAGTCCGAACCTGTGATCCTAAGCCATCGCAAAGTACTCCGCAGTTTGCATGCATACTGTGAGGCTCTGATCGGGGAGAGAGCAAGTCAATATGTTGGAAAGATCATGGTGCGAAGCGGAATCGAGTTTGACGACGGAAATCGACCCAGCATTTGTTGCCGCAGTCCCCAACGGTGACGCGCATTCCAGCGGGCAACTCAACGGCACATCGCGGCGCTGCGTGACTCCCAAAGTGACACCGGGGCTTAATGAAAGCGTTCAACTGGTGCCAGAATACTGGGACCAAACAGTGCCGGTGTGGCCGTGTGGGGATGCAGAGGCCTCGTCCAAGAGAAAGGCGAAGAGGAACGATGGACATGGTAGAATCCCCCGAAGTCGTCTTCATGGCCATGGTGGAACACCTCCCGAGTACAACTCCCTGAAAAATTGTTTCTGTAACAGGGCACTGGGGTTGGATCACGAGGGAAACGATCCCGTTTACCCCAGAGGCACAGCAAGGATCGAGGGAGGTGATCGGGAGGAATGCAATGACGAAGGCGGGAGGCGGCGGGCTGATCCCGTGGCGGCAGCCCAAACTTCCTGCTCCGAGGTCAGTTTCGACGCCATCATGTCCATGTACCAGAGCTCTGTTGTGGAGAAAGCTTGCCAAAGTTCAAGAGGATTGGGAGTCAAATCAAAGCGTATAAGCAGGAAGGGGTATGACGATAGGCGGCGACTCTGGCGGAATTTTGCAGGGAGTTTTGACATCTTGGTGCTCAAGTGGTCAACGCCAAGATCCCTTAGGCGACGGGATGTAAGAGACAAGTATTCTGTGCGGGGCTTACACGTGACGTTTGGAGGAACCAGTGCCTGCGATCATTCCACGGGCAATTCACATGGCGGCGTGCACTTACCAATTTTCCAAGTTTGGGAGTGACATCTGAGGTCAGTTCCGGAACCGGCGTAATCCATTGGGTTTCACCGCGGCGATGCGCAATACAAGCTTCTCGTCAAGGTGTGCTAGTAATGGCAACGGCATGTGAACGGGTGAACAGATCAATCGCCGCACGGGTACTTATTCACAACCACACGTAATGCAATGAGTTTCTTATTGCAGGAAGCCTCGAAAATTTATCCATCGGACAGCTCTGAGTGGTTTTGCAATGCAACAATATGCTACATGCTCCTCGGCCAGTTCCTCAGCACCTTACAAACTTCAAAAAATTAAACAGGATTTAACTTCGTTGCAACTGACGGCAATCAGTTGACGTTAATTTGCGTATGGGCACAAGTTCATAAAACTCCAACACTAGGAGCAAAGCAAATAGATTAGAACACCGATGTAGACAATGGACATGGACATTCTACAAGCTAATGGATTGAGTTCAGAATGCGGTGCCCTTCTCCCATGTGGAATTATCGAATGGCTACTTTTGCAAGGTTCTGTAGACTCATCTGAGCTGCCTCCGTTTTTTGTAAAAGGACCGAAGAGGTTGCCTGATTGTTGAACCACCCCACCATTTGATAATCAGTCGACTGCTTTCCACCGTTCCTTCGATGTCTGAGCTTCATTGAAATACGCGTGCGTGCCTGGTACTTAGGTCTTCAAACCGTTCTAAAAGTATGTTTGCATCTTCCGTGTTGGAGGATTAATGTAGTAATGCTGCAGGATAGGTTGACTTTCGTCAACAAGTCAGGGGGACAGCGCAAAATTCCCCATAGGCTGCAAAGCTGCGTAGGCACACTGTATGGATCACCTTGCTTTGTCCTATTGCGTGGGTAGTGGCCCCACGAGGGCTCCAGCATCCCCTTGTGTAAAATACTCAAGTGGCTCGCTTGCACTGGGAAGGACCTCATCCGCTGATAAGAGAAGATCTTTTGCAATCGGTTTACGAGGTCCTGGAAGTGCAACCAGTAGAATTCCATGCGCTCATGGAATTGCACTCATGCAATCTGTGGCAGGGCGTGGCATGTTACCAAGACATAAGTTTTGTGTAGGCCTAGTCTACATATCGAGCATGCGAGCAATCATTGAGTGAAAAGACCGCGGTTGATGATCGAATGGTTAATTTTAAACCGGATTTCAGGAATCCATTCCACTTTTCGCTTGTATTTCAACTACTCGCAGACAAATAAGGTTGATGCAGTTTTACCTGTTTATTTATAATTTTATTTATTCCGGGAAAAGTGTTGCATGTTGTCGACTCCATGGATTTTCCGATAGCTCGTGAAGCGAATTCTCATGGGATAGTCTAGGGTTTGGTGGCAGTTTCTTGAGCTTCGCAGGTGGAGAGGCTTGGCAAGATGATAGCCATAGCCAGATTTCGACCCGTTACTGTAGTCTCTGGGAATCCATTCGTTACTGAACATCCCCGTTCCATCGTAGGTTGGAACTCAGTTGCAGAGCCTAGGCGCTTAAATTCACAGGTTCAAGTTGCCGCAGCAGCTGGCGAGAGAGGCCGTCGAAGAGTGTACAGACAAGCGTATAGGTGGGACGACGAGGAGATAGAGGCGGGTTCACAGGTCACCTTTGCCGAAGGGGTGACGCTTTTCAACGCGGGGGATTATTACGAGTGTCATGATGTTCTGGAAGGTTTGTGGAACAATGCGCCGGAGCCACAGAGGAGCATCTTGCACGGAATTCTGCAGTGTGCGGTGGGATTGTACCATCTTTTGAACCAGGTATTTCCACAAATTTGAACTCCTCCACTTCTTTGACATCTCACCAGATAGAGGATGTCTAAACACGATGGGAACAAATTCGCCGTGATCGGAGATCTCTAGCTCAACGGCTATCGATGCAACCCGTATAGAAATCTGAGAAGAACAGGCTCAGAGTTCCATACGTGCCCAACATCAGCGTGTACGGTCGACCGCTCCAGTAAATTAGGGTTGTGCTTCATTGTATATGTCTCTGCCTTGAACGCAAATTCTTGCTCACGGATAACGTTAGCTGTTTTTCGAAGCAACTTTAACCCAGCTCAGGATTTGTAAGTGGTTTAAATCTGGAGACAGAATCACAGAGGGGCAATGGTGGAGTTGGGGGAAGGCCTAGCAAAGCTAAGAAGAGCGAACTTCGAAGCGGGTCCCCTGCACGAATTCGAGCGAGAAGCATCGGCAGTTCTGGAGTTCATCTACAATGCTCAACTTGAATACGCTGCCTGTGAGTATCTCCCTCGCCCTAAACCAACATTTCTCTCTCTCTCTCTCTCTCTCTCGCTCTCACACGCATCCAATGGTAAAATTCCCTCTCCAGCAAACCATGCAAATTCTTTCCACATATATTCAACCCAACCAAGTGAACATCACTTAAACAGTGGGCACGTCTTCCATGTTCACTCCACAATGAACGCAAAATGGTGGGGATCTGGTCGATGTTCTCACCGCGAAGGGGGATGGGTGTGTGAATGTGTGTGTGTGTGGGGGGGGGGGGAAGGCGTGGAGAGTGTGTGCACAACGATGGATGGGTCGGAGCAGTCTTACCAGCTGCTCGGCAACTTCGGTGCCGGGGAGCCATTGTACAAGCTGAGTCCCCGCGGCGACGAGCTACACCTGGAGTACCTGCCGTCCCGCCCCGACGTCTCCACCCTGGATCCAGAGCTTGTGCTGCCACCGCCATTGACGGTGAAACTGCCAGTGCTTCGAGCCTCGGAGGACGATCTGTACAGCGCCAACTGACTCTTGTGGGGCTCCGTTTCTTCATTCATCCATGTCATCACCATCATCATCCACGTCTCATTCTTCATCCCATGGATGAATGGGTGGATGGAATTTGAACCCCATACGAGGCGGTGATTTTTGTTTCGTATCGTTGCTCATTTGGCTCTGCACTGTTCTCATTTGTACACTACGTGTACACTATTTGTTTGCACTATCGTGTACCTCTCTATTGAGGAGATGTGAATTAAGTGTACGTTGATTCTCATTTTAAAAAAATAAAAATTGTTAGAGTAAGAATGTGTGGTGAAGGAATAGTGTGTGTGGTGTGATCACAATGAGTTTTTATGAATTGGAATAATTGTGGGTTACTATGCAAGTTAAAGTCGCTTAAATATGTTTCTGACATTTGATTGATTCTTTAGTAAAAAGATGGAATGTGGAATAATTTTGTAAGAGTTAGTTTATGGTCGTGTATGAAAATTGGCTTGCACAATCGTTGTGTACATGACAAGAATTTAGAGAGTTTTATTGGTATTTGTTGAATCTTGCGTTGGAAACTTGACGCAACATGATACAAAATGGCATTCTGTGCATTGAGTGTAGCATTTTATTGCATTGTAATCAAGACCTGGAAGCAAAAAGAGAAAAGAAAAACGACGCATTGACAGCAAATGCATTAAAAGATGAAAAGTAAGAAAATATAATTAGTGATAGTATCATAGCTTGAGATTTATCTTAACTTGTCCAATAATCTTTAAAACAATCTTAAGAATAGAACAGAATTAAATTACAAGATTAAAAAGATTTTACTATAAATTTTAAACATATTTTGTAAATGATGATACATTCATAATTGAGAGCAAATTTAAGTACTTTCAAAATAAAATTACATCAAGTTTAATATATGAAAAAAATATATACATATCTATATATATATATATATATATATATATATATATATATATATACATATTTAAAAACCATGATGTGAAATAAGAATGCCCATATATATATGTATAGAATTTATTTTTTGGATTTTTTTCTATTTATTAAATGCAATATTTTAAAAATTATCCAAACATATTTGAAGAATTTTTTATATAGCCATTTTTTTTGAAAATCCAAAAAAATTAAAAATAAATATTTATCAATATTTTTATAGAGTTTTTATATTTTCATAAAAAATTATTATTATTATTATTATTATTATTATTTATTTTTTACATTTGATATTGAAAATGGTTACTTTTCTTCAAAAGTAACATATTAAAAGAAGAGTGAAAGAATTTTAATATGTTACTTTTACTATGAATATGTTACTTTTAATATGAATAGTTAAATATTAATATTCTTTGTATTTTAGTTTATTTGTTTAATTAGATTCTACACATCTAAGAAATTTTTGCTCTTAAATATAACATTATATGAAAGAAGTTTAAATAAATAAATAAATAAATACATTCATAAAAACATGAAAATTTAGAAAGCTACATACAAAAACATATATATTGAAAAGCAAGTTAAAATTTAAGAGCTGTCAATTCTGAATCCCTTATTGAGTTTTAATTCCCCATTGACATTTCCATTCGTCAAAGTCCCCAAAACTTCCCGTTGTTCCCTTTGTTCCCACCTGGTGTTCCCCTCAACCACAGTGAGAACGTGGAGACTGCACCGCCATTAACGGGTCCCATTGTAAATTAGGGTTTGAGGCGCAGAGTGAGATCTCCGCTCCAATCTGCAATTGTGTGTGTGTGTGAGTGTGTGTCGATTTCGAGCTTGGCTCCCCAGATCGCCGTAGCCACGCTCAGCCTGAGGCTGACGACGCTTCCGCGAGGTCTTTGAGGTGTGAGTTACAGAGAGCGCTGCAGTCATGGGTCGCAAGGCGGGAGTGATGCGCGTCAATCCCAAGACTCTGACGCGGAAGACGCTGCCCTGTTTCCAGGAGATGCTCATTTTCCTGTCGTGCATTCAGAAATTCAATTACGACGATGACAAGTGCGCGGCTGAGAAGCGCGCTCTCAACATGTGCATGGAGCTTCAGGTAATCCCGAGTTTGTTTTCTAATTTTGATGCGTGTTCTGGGTACTTGGCGTTTGCGATTCGGGCGCAAGTCAGGGTTCAGGGTTTACGAATTGGCTGTCTGCATCGCCTGTGTTTACTGCCCAAGGACGAATGTAGCTGGCCTGAGTATTTGAGTAGATGAATCTTTGTACATCAATTTGCTGGCGATAACCTGCTTGGGACAGTTCACCGAGAATGATAAACGTGTTTGATGGATCGATTGTTAAAATGTGATATTTAACCAGCTATTGTGGGTGATTGCAGGCTAAGCAACCAAAGCAGAGCAGTACTATCAACTACCACCTGCAAAGAATATCGCGCATGATGAAGGCAACCAAGTGATGATCTTGTTTATTCCTTCAGGTAGATCTTAATTCAGATACGTTTCAAGTGGAATTTGTAGTTCAATCCTTGAGCTACAGGCTTGAAGGAGGCATACTGAGTTTGGTGGCTTATTTGAGATGGATTGTTCTACTTTTGTCTTGTAGACATCTAAGCTGCTGGAATGAGATGAAGAAGGAAGGACATCATGCTTCCTTTCTTGGTAAACTGTGGCCACCTTTCACGGTTTGTAGGTTAATGTAAGCATTTGCATACTTGGCATTGATTCTCACATTATCATGTGGTAGTCACCAAAATTTAGTGCAGCTTTCCAGTTTGCCTCTCTGTTTATTGTCTTTTTTTTGGATTTACCAAGACTTTTGGGTTTGCGTATGCTGTGTCGCCGGAATTTCCTGACTTGTAACTGCAACTGGGGTGTATTGTATCGACTACTAGCAATACTCGGAATTTCCTCAACTTTTCAAATTCGTTGCACATCACTTGTCGTCATGACATTCAGACTCAAATCGACTGTATGGGACTTTTTCTAAAGCAGATGCCTGATGCGAATTTCCAAATTTAAGTGCCTTTCGATGTTGACCAGCTGATTCAGCCTCGGAACATGTTGGACGTGGACGTCGAAGCTTCAAAGAGAAAGCATATCATACGTTGGTCGATGTCGACGTATTATTAAACGAATCATCCTTGGGTTCCTTAATTTAATATTTGAACTAAGCTTCGAAACAACTTTATTAAAATTCTCAGTGAATCGTCTGAGGGGAACAAGTCATGGACAGTTGTGAGGCAAGTAGTGACCGAGTTCTAGGTAGCGTGTCAAAACTTGTCCCATCGTTTGTACATTGTCCAGATGGGGGATATCACCATCTACGAAGAGACGTGCGTGCGCAAGGGTCAATACAACCTTTGAAAGAATTATGATGCGTCTGCTACTGTACACAGTTGCATGACGAATGATGCATGAACGAAAGTTATAACCCACTCGCACACAGGTTCTCAGCCCCTCTTCCTCTCTCTATCCTTCTCTTGGGTTTTCTTTCTTTTAGATTCCTGCCTTATTGATACGTCTTAAGAAACGGTGATACCAAATGTAAGTCGAGCTTTGCACCTTGTGATTCTGGTGCACTCGTAATCACGCTGAGGATCTACCGCTGTGACAGGTTAATTCGAACATTTCCCAACTGTTAGGTGGAGGTGTGTGCCCTACAGCAGCTCCGAGATGAAACGGCAGCAGCGGATCATTTTCTGTTGGTGAAGCAGAGGGGGACGAAAAGAACTCGCTGCATGGGGTTAATGATGAGGAAGGTCCCTTTCCACAGCTCCGACCATTCGACGATGAACATATTATCTCGAATTATGCCCTAAAGAAATTTCGTATTCTCTCAACAACTGTTAACTCTTGGGGAGAATTTGCAAGTTTACCCAAATTGTTACTTCAAAGCTGGAGGATTTTCTCGTACAGCATAGCTGGGTGCATACTGAGTCTATTAGGTACTTCTGGAGGTTTCTGTGATGTTGCACGCTACCTTCATGTTTTCTGATTCATTCAACACGCACTAGTCAAACGGATAATGTCAGAGACTTTTTCTTTTCGGACCTATTCGTCTTCTTTGGAGTGGAGCATTGATGAGAACAAATCAGGTGCACGCTTGCTTCAAGAACTCAAAGACCATTCGAGATCACGTTGCTTCACAGAGGTCTCAGTTCTTTTGCGGATTAGCACACCAAAGCCCTGCTCTGTTGAGATTCAAGCCCTAGTCGTCTGTGCAGGCTTTACTGTGCACAGCTTTAGGTTCTGATACGATTCATATTCTCTTGAGCAGGTCACAAGTACCGCATTTCCTCGCTTTCTTGTGGAGTTCTATCTGATTTGATCTGTGAGACAAATTGTGCGTCCATTGGTCGGAATTTGAGTCCCGATATCAACAGGCATAACTTTCTTGTTGCTTTCTTTCAGCTAGTAATGTTCTCGTTCTGTATCGTAATTGAATATGTTGAAACTCTGGTCTGGAATTCTAAATGGCTGGGATAGTTACAGCATTCAATCAACAGAAGTATCACAGGAAGACGTCAACACCATGACACTTATTAGCATCTAAACTGGCAGAATTTTGTACTGATTACCCGAAATCTTTGCTTTTGCATGCAGACAGGTCTTGGGAAAGCAAAATTGTACAACAAAAATTTGGTCATTTAATGTTTGAGTACAATGTCGGGACGTAATTCGGCGTTGGAAGCTCCAGCAAGTACGGTGTTGGCCGCAACCATCATACAAGCTCACTGGCGAGGGTCTGTGCTGCGCCGAACCAGTCCACTGGAGAAGCTGCAAATAATTCACCAAGTTCGACAAGATCTTAAGGACCACATCCAAGTGTTGGCAGATGCTGCTCAGTTCGAGAAGCTCTGCGCAGATCCTAAGGAACGTTTGAGATGGAGCGAGTGTGCAATGACGTTGCTGCTGCGGCTTGACTCTATTCAGGGTGCTCATGCATACGTGCGAGATGTACGTAAAGTCACCTCCAAGGAAGTGATCGCGTTCCAGGAGATTATCGATTCTACCGCAAAGGACGCTTCCAGCGGTAAGATAACCCAGAATTGTCATGAAAGGATCCATTTAAAACTTGTTCTTCATTTCGCAGTAAGACTTGGAATTTTATGTCTGCGTACCATCAGGATACTAATTGACAGGATTTTCATTTTCTCCAAAGACGTCTTCTCCCTGGTGCTGTTATCCCTAAATTCAGTCTATATGCGAATTGTAACCATCTTATTCGGTAACTTATGTGATAGTTTATCGCTTCTTAAGGCAACCCAGTTGACATAAGTAATCGGTACAATTAGTACGAGCCACGTGAATCTTTCGAAGAACTGGCGGAATGCCTGAAACGTGATGAATTCCTCTCAAACAAACATTGTTAACTGCAGAGCACGTTGCTCCACACAAGCATCATTTCTTCGGAAAGATACGTACTTTGTTCATATGGAGTCGAGATCTTCAAACAATCGTCTATATCTGGGTAGGACGAGAATATGTCGTCACACACAAAAGATACTAATACGTCGTTTAAATGCAGATGTGATCAGAAGGGCCCTAAAATCAACGCTTACAATGTTTCGTAACATGGACCACATACTTGAAAGGTAGCTTTGAACGAAAGATTGGTTTTACTCAACGCAACGAGTTCACTTCCCCGTTCGTAATGGCAGCAAGAGAGCAACCTCCCTCGTTGAGTGAAAAGGTTCGTCCGTGATACCCAGACTGTTCAAGTTGGTAGCAAATAATTTCGATTTGGACATGTACTACCCCTAGTGTTTATTTCAGCGTCTCAAGCATCAACATTTATAATTTAAAACGAGAGATTGTAGCTCCTTGCAGACATTCTCAGTTGAGCTGCAGCGGTTATTTAAAAGCAGTTTCACCAAGACGTCAAAACATGCTGTACACATGGTGAACTACAAGTATTGAAGACAAAGTTTGAAATTCAAATATTTTACATTCTTCTTTAGATGACGTAGTTAATAGTTGCGTAAATGCATATTTGCTGATTTTTCCATGAAAAGTTTCGGCTAAGAATGCCAGTTGAATCAATCAGCATCGTGACTTACACATGATTGCACTATCCGATCCATAGCACCTTGGTTATAAACAAAGTTTCATGACATTGTCACCCTAGCGACTCAAACGTGACATTATAAATTCCCAAAATTGAGTACAGTCCGTAAAATGGACCACATACTTGTGATCATGACTCATGCAGCAAGGTCTGGAACTGCAAGGAGTAGAACATCACATAGGATTCTTCCACAATCAGCTTAGTGATACTCCAGGCTATTCACTTTACCACATTCTGTTATGCTCGCAAGAGTAAACGTTTTTATTCTTGTTTTAACATGCATGCATCATTCTGAACGAAATCGCTGTTCTTGCCAAAGTTCCTGAGAGCAAACGCAACTCCCAGAAGCAGAGCAGGCACCATAAACTCGAAGATCTTACTCCATATCCCTATTTTGTACGTAGATTTGCGAGTTTCACTTTCAACTCCTTCCTCAGTAGCTAGGTTCTTTTTCAACACCTCCGGGCACTCCCCAACATGAAAGGTTTCCATTTGCGCAATGGCAGCCTTACTGTGCCCCACGTTGTCAAATTCTTCCGTAGCATCTCGTCCTAATAGAAACAAGTAATAGCAACAAGCTAGAAGTTTAGACAGCTGAAATATTCAACACCAGCTCCAGACTGAGGACCCAAATACTGAAACCAATGAAAGCATGTCTACCACATATATGGTTCCTAATCTCACACAATGCAAGCATGATCGGAAACGTCCTCAGCCTGGACCTACCTTCCAATCATCCACGCAAAAATATCTCGACTAAACCACCAAAAATACCCAAAAAAACTACAACAAATCAGAGAAACTCCACGACTCAGTATAAACCAGACCTGCAGCTTGCAAAAGCACGTCATCACCCCCGGGGTGGTCATCCATAAACGTCGATATATCGTACACCTGCCATGGCCGCACAAAACTCAAACGATCGCCATCCAAAACACATCCAAAGACTGTAATAAAACGGAGAACCAAACAAACAAACAAACCAAACACGAATTCGATGATTACGGATATGCGGGAAGCAGGGAATGCAATCCCAGAAACCCGACCATGAGGTCTTTTATCCTGCAGCGAGCAAACCCACCTTCCCACGCACGATTATCCAGCAGTCACCCGGTGAGACGTGCCGCTGCACTTCCTCAGCACTGAAAACTACTTCCTTTGCCTCATTCGACGCCATACCGACAAAAACCAACACTGCGAAGACGTATCACGCAAGATCAGAACCCCAAGTAGCGTCCAAGGATTGCAACTCACACAGCGAAATTATAGTGGGGGGGGGTGGGTCGGATTCTTCGTCGAAGACGACGATCCCGTCTCGTTTGTGTAGGCTCTGGCGATGGTTCCGAATGAACTAGACCTTGCCCGGGCCGAGTCACCCGCGCCTCTATGCCACCCGGCCCGTCCACCCGCGCACCCCTTCCCCTCCTCCTCCGCCTGATCCTTTTCACACGGGGTCGTCTTGAATGCCATTTTTCATGTCTCGGTTCCTTACACGTTTGGTATGTCACTAGCTGAACCCGTGTCACGGATGTCACGGATTTTTAGTTTGTCGATATCAGGATCTCAGCTTCTTTAGCATTTTACTTTGCACATTAGAAGGAAAATTCTACAATCAGGTTCTTTCAAAACTGCCTCTATATTAATATAACAACATAGTCTAGAAACAAAAATAAAAATAAAAAGGTAGATTTAGGAAATATTACAGCAAATAATTTACCTTTTACAAATCAGGTCATGTACAATTAACTGCATTAACTGTATAAAACAAGCCAATCTGCTTTTTTTTTTATCTGTTTACATATTTTCAATAAATAAAATGTTATTATTGATGATTTAAAAAAATTAATTAATAATAACTCGTTTTTATTTCTTTCATTGTTGGTATCAATCAGATAGATTTTTTCTATCAGAAACATGAAAGTATTCACGTTTATATATATATATATATATATATATATTTAAAATAAAACATTTCTAAATTAAAATTCAAGAATTAAACTTTTTAAGCATATCAAACTGGTATAAATATTTGTTGACTTTACAACAGGTTTTCAAACCTATATATGAAGATACTGTTTGATATTTTAGAAACATCGTGAACATTTAATTTTGTATATTCAGTACATTATATACATTTATAATTCTTGCAAAGAAATTTCATCATTTCATGAATTTAAGTATTTGATATTTGAGAATTGACTTTATCAATTATGTAGAATACCAACCACATGATGTATGATAAATGTTTTTCAATTTTCATGTATTAATGACAATTTTACATGGCATCAAGAAAAGAATTTGATTTTTATCTCAAACACAAATTAATTTTAAATTTTTATAATTCATATTTATTGTCATATATCTATTTTTTTATTTTCAAGGAAAATTTATTCGCTTAATTTGCTGCAAATAAATAACATCTTTAATTAAATTAACATACACATACATAAATGTAAATTTTTGAGTTGTTGTCATTTATTATCACAATTCATTATCACAATTTCATCTGTATTTTATTTAGTCTAGGTTCTTGATTCATCTTAAACTAATGTTGAAGTACAAAGACTCGTGAAACTAAACAAAATCAAGAGATGTTCAACATATTCTTCACAGTGTAAAATTGCATGGAAAATTTTGAAACTTTTTGCAGTATTCAATATACTATATCTTTTGCCATTTATTATAAGAAAGCAGATAAAAAATTGCAATATGTCTAGAAGCATCACTCAAAGAAAAAATTTAAGACAGTTCTAAAAACACAATTTATGTTTAAGGAATACTCTTATTCAATTGGATCATTAATTTATTTAAATTTTGTGGTGCTTTTCAATATTAACTACTCGCTTCAGTGCAATTTATAGCCTGTACTTGAATAGATGAAGTTTGTCAGCAAAATAAAAGTCTAGATTACATTTGCACACTAAGATATTTATCTCATTGTTGACAATTTTTTACAAAAATTTACAGAAATTTAAATAGGTGAGTAATGGAAGAGTTTTGACTTCAAGACATGTACAAAAGAATACTTGTTATGATTTCAAAATGCAGCTACACTTCTTAGCCTCTAGCTAATCACTTGTACATTTCTAACACATCTACCTACACATATACTTTTGATATATCCTAACTTAACTCTTCCTATTTTAATCCTATCTAAGCCCTATTTAGATTTCCTTTCAAAATTCTATATGTATCATTTATTAATTAGCTCCAACAAAAAAAAAAAAAATATTATTATTATTATTTTTATCATTATGCTTAAGGCCTTCAAATTCCACTTGATGTAGCACATTTTTAGATGTGCATTCCTATCCTATATTAGTTCAATTCACGTACTCCAAAATTACAATCTCATTGTAGGATTCTACTTCACATATCAAGGATATGAAACTTAAATAAATAAGAACTCAATGTACTCCTATATCACTTGAAAAGATAAGATATTCACTCAAAATTAATATAATATTAAAACTAGGATGACTATTGTCAAAGACAAGAATACTAAAGAATCTTAAAATAAGATTAATGACTAAAATGGGATTCATAAGAATGAAGAAGGCTTTACTCTTACCTCCATATATACTATCTAACTAAGAGCTATGTGGAAAAATTCTATAAGACCTCCAATATTTGTCTAATTTGTAAGATACATGTCTTAACTTATAAGGAAAGTTTCTTATATATGCGCTACATTATTATCTTGTACCACAATATAACATGGTATAGATAAGATAATTATATAAATAATTAGAACCATGGAAGTTTCTAGAATTGGAGTTAGGTTTGTTTATCAAGTAGGATCCATTGTAGAATATTCTAGAAAGGATTTAGGCTAGTTATTTAGGTAGGATCTATCATAGAACCTTCTAAAAAGGGCTTAAGGTGGTTATCTAGGTAGGGACTATCATGGAATTCTTTAAAAAAAGAATTTAAGGTGGTTATCTAGGTGGTGCCTACTACCTAAGAACATTCTAGAAAGTCCAGGGTGGTAGGACAAGGTATAAATAGAATTGGCTAAGGCCTTTTGGGGCATTTGGTAAGGTATGGCTTTAGACCCTTTTTCTTAGTAAAGTTTGGTTCTGCATCTTTTTGTTTAGAAATCAAAGAATTAAAATTAAAGAAATGAAAGGAGGAAGTATATACATTGTAGATGACTGAGAGAACGTATTGAATGAGACATGTGAAGAAAAAACCTTGAAACTGATAGACATCTACGTCTTAAGGGATTGATTTAAAATAATAAAGCTAAGATATGATGTTATCCTTGGTATGCTATGGCTGGAGATGAAAAATAAACAAGTTGATTAGATAGCAAAGACAATTTCTTTTAAAGATGGAGGATGTAAGGTCACTTTTTGCACCTCCACATCAAGTGAAGAAAAAAGACAATCTACAACCAAAGACTTACTTATAGGAACGACCTTTGTGAAAAAACAGTTGTAGCATGAACAACTGGTATATATGGTGGTTCCAAATCTTACATTAATGGTAGAAAAGGCAGTCGAAAGGAAAGAACAGAGGAAACAATTCATATGAGAATATCAAGATACCTTTCCAATTAATCTACCTAGTAGTGTACCTCCTAATTGACGTGCCTCTTTTCAAATAGAACTATTATCTGGAGCCAAACCAACAAGTCCACCAATTTATCGCCTAGCACCAAAAGACTTGAAGAATTGTAAAAGACATTAGAGAAACTTTTGGAAAAAGGCCTCATTCAAGAAAGCACATCACTATGAGAAACACTTCTACTCTTTGCACCTAACAAAAATGGTGGACTTTGTCTTTACATTGACTACGAAGGTTTCAATAAATAGACTATTAAAAATACATATTTACTTCTACGTATGGATAATCTTCTTGATTAACTTTGAGGTACAACCATCTTTAATAAATTGGATCTTTGGAGCGGCTATTGGCAAATACCTATTGCAAGAGAAGATGTGAAAAAGATGGCATTTTGTATGCATTATGGACATTTTGAATAGCTTGTTTTATCGTTTGGCCTCACCAATACTCCAGCCTCTTTCATGGATCATATGAACATATTATTTTAAGACCTTTTGAACAAATATGTAATTGTCTTCATTGATGATATCCTCATATATAGTAAAACTCTTAAAGAGCATGAGCAACACCTATAAGAGGTACTACGTTGATTGCATGATAGTTACTTTTATTGCAAGCAATCAAAATGTGAACTTTGGAAGTCGGAAGACACCTTTTTGGGGCATATGGTGTCCTCCAAAGGCATGCATATGGAACAAGATATGGTAAAAGTAGTAGAGGATTGGCCAACCCCAAAAGATGCTTCTGAAATTTGTTCATTTTTAGGCCTTGCTGGATGCTATCATCGTTTTGTTTGGCAATTTACTCACATTGCTGTCTCATTCACAAATCTATTAGAGAAGGGTGCTCCATTTGAATGGAAATTAAAGAAACAAAATTCCTTTAATAAGTTGAAAGAGACACTCATTACTGCTCCAATATTGCAAATATATGATTCTAATCTCCCTTATATGCTTGATATTAATGCTTCCAAATTTTCTATTGGAAAGGTCCTTCAATAAGACTTTGGTAGGAGCCTTCAATCTCAGAAGAGCAAAGCGTAATTACTCTGTATGTGATCGGGAACAATTAGCAATTGTATATGCCATAAAGGTGTGGCAACACTATCTATACAAGAAGCCAAGGTTGTTTGGACTGACCATCGACCTTTGATATATGATTTATATATGAAAAATATAAAATTTCACCATCATTGTTGGGAAGAATACTTGCAGCTTTTTGATATCTACCTTGAGTACAAAAAAGGGTGACAACATATTATGCAAGAAAATTTATTACGAAAATCAGATTTGAAGGACAAATTAGAAGACAAGCCAAAAGTTACTATCATTAGTAATATCATTTCAGTTTTAATCAAAGAGGTAGAATGGAAGGAAACTATGCAATGCGATGTTTATTTCAAGTTGCTTAGTAATCGATTGAAGGTGGGAAATATACAATATCAAGATTACACTCTTAGTGAAGGCTTGCTCTATTTCAAGAAGCAAATTTATGTACATGACAATGCTAAATTCTAGACCTGCATATTTAAAGAGAGATAAGATATCCTAATATTTGGACATCTGAGATGGGATAAGACCCTAGAACGGATCTCCAAAACATGATTTTAGGCAGGTTTGGATTGTGATGTTTGAACCTTTGTATGCTCTTGTAAGTTATGTTAACATAACAAAGTACACAACACAACATCTTTTAAACTATTGTGGCCAATTTTGCTATCCATAGCATGTTGGAAGTAGTTGACTA